ACGTATAATAATATGAGCTTTGAGAACTGGCTCCATTCTAGAACATCATGGGTATCAACACTTTAATCCTCACAATAGTCTTACAAGTGTCCAATTCACAGACTAAGGAATGAAGATAATATGACTATGACACTGTGCTCTTATCCATTGCAACACGGCTGCCTGATGAGGACCTGAGGTGTGGTCCTGCCTCTCAAAGGGCTTCCCATCAAGTGGAAGTCAGGGCTGAGAGTGGAAGAGATATGTAAGTAGACATATGCCTGTATGATGATGTTTAGTGGGATGGAAAGCTGAAGAGACTGGCAGGGACTGGCATATCTCAGGGCCTCGAATGCTCAGGGAAAAGTTGGGTCAGCTGGCCTGGAAATTTCACAGAATGAGTTCCACAACCTTCAGAGATCTCTTCTTTGTTTGCTAATGATGGGCTTCATTTTTCCCTTCTGAAGTCAACTGGCACAGGTGAGGGAGCTGCCTGGGTGCCATGTTGGAATCACAGACTCTCAGAGCTGCATCCCTTAGAAAGGCGTGGTCAGGCTTCCATTCAATGCACTAGTCCTGGGACAACGGCACCTGTGTTTGCTTATAATATGGTTTGGCTATGTCCTCACCCAAAATCTCATCTTGAATTGTAATCTGAATTGTAATCCCCATGTGCCGGGGGAGGGACCTCTTGGGAGGTGATTAGGTCATGGGGGCAGTTCCCCATGTTGTTCTTGTGAGAATGAGTCCTCATGACATCTTATCGTTTTATAAGGGGCTTTTCCCCACTTTACTCTGCACTTCTCCTTCCTGTTTCCATGTGAAGAAGGATGTGTTTGCTTTCCCTTCTGACATGATTGTAAGTTTCTGGAAGCCTCCTCAGCCATGCTAACCTGTGAGTTAATTAAACCTCTTTCCTTTATAAATGACCCAGTCTCAGGTATGTCTTTATTAGCAGTGTGAGAATGGACTAATACAGCTTACATGCTCTCAGTATTGAAGACCTCACTACTATACCAGATGGCTCATCCCATCACTAGGCAGCTCCAGTGTTAAGCTAAAATAATTTTCTTTCAACATTAACATGATGGTGCTCTGTCTTCTTACATATGTCAGCTCTTTCTGGGTTCCTTGAAGCAAGTCTTCTCCAAGACAACATTTACAGATCTTTTTATTGCTTCTCATAGGATGTGGTTTCTAGACTTCATTCTTCCCATTATTTATTCCACAAACAAATACTGGGCTAGATTCTGGGAATGCAAAGATGGTTTACGTCTTGGCCTGCCATCAACCAATTTATAATAGTTAGAGGGAGAGATATATCAAAACAAAGATTCTCTGGGCAGTTTGATAGGAGTGACACAATAGCCGCTCAAGAGAGGCCCTGTAGGAGCACAGAGGAGGAAATCTTTCTCCTAGGGATGTTAGCTTCTGGGCCACTCTTATGAGAGTGCTCCCCATGGTTCCTTCCTTACACTGCCTCCATTCTTCTCTTTACATCCTCTCATCCCTGGATGTCATCACAAAAACCAGTGGCTTCAAGCAGCACATACATGCAAATCAACTCCAAAATCCATCTATCTGGTTCAAACACCTCCACTGAACTCCAGATCCTGTTGTTTACATGCCTTCTGGATCCCACCATTGGTGATCTCAGAACCACTTCCAGCTCAACACATCACCGACAAAATTCCCCAAAACATTCTCAGAGAGGTTAAGGCAACTTGGACTGTCAAAATGTTCACTTTTTCTGCCGCTTGCCAGAGACTTTGGGATAGGAAATGAGATGGGCAATACCCAGTCTTTCCCTCTTGTTTTATGTCTTTTCACTGTGGTGCCCTCTTCAACCAAACTCCATTCAATATTTCAGTGCTGCTTTCTGGGAGCCTCTTGTCTCAGTAAGAAACCAAAGGTGGTGACATCCCCTCTCTTAAGGCTTCAGACTTGAAGCCTCAGCTTCTGCATGTGGGCCCTGACAGCAGGAAGATGGACTCTCTGGGCACAGAGGCCCTTTCAACCCTCACTAGATATGCAGATCTGTCATTCTTTTCTAATAGCTTTCCACCAGAGACTGAATCTGTTTTAGCTTCCATTGGATCCCCTGGTTTGGAGTAGCACTTGGCTTATAGTTGATACTCAACATCTGCTTAATGGTTGAACAAATTCTGTCTCTATACCAAGCCATAATGTTTCTTTGAAAGTGCATATATTTAAAAGTGAGCTTTAGAATGCTGAATTTGAAAGCTAGGCCAATTTTTGAGAATGCAATTCAATTCCACATCCATTTATTGAGCAAAGACAGTGTCCCAGACACTGTGCTGGGTACAGGGGTTTCATCTAGGAATAAGATACAGCCAGGGGCTTCAGGCAACTCATGGAGGATGAGGTAGGAAGTGGCAGGAGACAGTGCAACACAGTAGCCATATGGCACTGTTATTGGTGCAAGACATGAAGTGCTGATGCAGGGTAGAGGAGGGAGTGACTAATTCTATGGGTTCGAAGGGTCGGGGTTAGCGGGCTGGCAAGATTCAGCTCCACAGATCATGAGTTCCTCAGCTGGCTCCCCAAGCACTGAGGATGCCTTTCTCCATCTCTCTTGGGTGGAGATGAAACTTCTTTTAGTTTCATCCTTCACCTTAAAGACACGTGAAATCTCGAATTAGAATACTTTAGAGAGAAAAAGCTGTGAGAAACATTGAGTCCTGTGGATTTCCATCTTTCTTTTTGTAGCAGAAACTTCAACTTAAATCTTACCAGGACACCCATTTTGTAAAATGGATCCAACCAGAGTCTCTCTGTCAGGTTGAAATCCCTGATCTAGGCCAACAGTCTCTCTTTTTTTTTTTTTTTTTTTTTTTCCAGGTGAGGATAATGAGCGCCAAAGCCCCAAAACACAGGAGTGGCAACTTTGCAGTGGCCACAGATCTGAGTCCCCGGCTCTCTCCCTGCCTCTGGGCCAGGGTGTGTGCAGCTCAGGTTGTGAGCCTGGGGCGACAGCCCGTCCCGCCTGAGATTAACCATCAGGTGGGAAAAGCAATTACATCTTGCACAGGCCAGATCTGCTCGTCCCATTCTCCCTCCCTGCAGGCGATGTCAAAACACGAGGGCAGGATCCTGCTTCTTCTCACGTTTTAAAAACATACAGTGGACTTGTGTTTACAATACTGCCAAGGGATATGACGCGGAACGGCAGAGCGCACCGCCCCCTGGAGGGAGCCACCCTGTCCTCGCCGTGGCCCTCTAGAGCTTCCACAACCACAGCTCTCTCCTTTGGGCTCCACTTCAGAGAGTCTTGCCAGGGGATGTCGCTGAGCTTCAGGACTTAAACAATGCTATACGTTGTGCAAACAAACAGCACCAGTAATGATCTGCCCCCTGGATCAGAGCCACGGCTGTCTGGGTCACCCAGCCTGGGATTTTTCCGGTGGGGAATGCAGGTTAGGCATCAGAATTCCAGTTCCAGACCCCGTTTTGTGCTTCTGCGGGACTCACACATGAGCTTTTTCGTTTTCTGGGCCTCAGCATCCCCATTGGAGAAATGGCAGGGCTATGAAGCTTTGAGTTCATCCACTGGTTTTCATATTTGTGTGTGCTGCTGTGAGATTTCTTTTTGAAACGGAGTCAGGCAGGCACATTTAAAATATAAAGTAGACGAAAGCCAAACTTTCTGGTGAAGGCAGCAGGAGAGGGCTGGGTTACCCACTTCTACTCGGGGGGGCTCTTTACATTGTCTCTATGGATGTCTAGGATCCCCAGAACATAGTTGGATAGATGAGCTTTCGGATCCTTCTGGCTCAAACATTCTGTGATCCCATAAACATTCTGTAAATGCTGAGTCACAGTTGTGATTGTAAGAATTGTGTGTGTGTGTGAGAGAGAGAGAGAGAGAGAGAGAGAGGGAGGGAGGGAGAGAGAGATTACAGATTACAACTGGGCATTTTATTTTGATCAGGACATTGTATTTTTTAACTTATTTTTTCTTGATTATAAAGGTAAGGCATATTGATTATTAGAAATGAGATTACTATAAAATAAAATCACATGAAATCTTGCTCTTCTGAATTGAAATTATTATATTGAAAGATGTCTCTGCCACTTACAGGACTTTCCAGGTTAAATGAGTGCAGTTTAAAGGACAAATGGATGAGACCACTTGGCTTTGCTGACTGGGAGATGCCCATATTTTCTTTCATCTGTATATTCCTTAACAGTGATCAGATCATGTCTGTGTACTATGACCCAGTTGATTCTTAAAACCAAAGGGAAAACAACAGAGATAAAGGATGAGGGGGGGTGGGGAGAGAGAGAGAGAGAGAGAGAGGGAGAGAGAGAGAGGGAGAGATCTTTCTTTTACTTTGCTGCAATGCTGGGTAGCAGCTTTGTGTCTTCATCTTGACCTGGATTCTGGATTGCCACCTCTACACCAAATTTATTCCTCCACCAATTCCCTGTTCCCTCCTCAGTTCTCTAGTTCACATCTCAGACTTTCAGAGACCGGGAGGAGAGCAGCTTTGAAATCGAATTCACTATAGGATGAATGATGAATGTGGTCATTGGCACTGAACACCAATACCACCCTTCTGACATGTGCCTTCCTGTGCCATAGGGGATATAAAGAATGACACTTCCCAGAATCCCTTGCAGCTAGAGTATGAGCAATTTTTCAGCTAGAAGATACACTTGCTTGACATTTGGAAGGTGGAAGTGAAGCAGCAGCTCTGTGTAGTTGATGACAAATCAAACAAAAGCCAAGAAAGCTTTCTACTTCCCTTTAAAGTTTATGAATGAACCTTTGAGGTCATATCCTTGAGCAACCATCCTCTGCCATACACATAATCTCACTGACTTCCCTGAGTTTCAATTAGTTGCAAGCTGTAAAGTGGAAGTAAGAATACCTACTTCTAGGGGTTTCGAAGGTCAAATAAGATGATGCCAGGGAAGTAGCATGTGGTTGGCAGTATAGGAGCTGAGAGATTTAGTTCCTTTTCCACTTCTGTGCTCTAGGCCTTGACATACCTTACCCAGCGATCCAGTCCCGGCCTGAAGTAAACTTAAAGCCAATACTGGAACAGTTTTTCCCAAACTGTTCCACAGAACACATGTTAGCATCTCCTCAGGTACTAGGGTTCCAAGCACACAGTTTGGAAAACCCTATCCAAGAATATTATTCCCAGAGAGAACCTTAGAGATCTTTTAATTTACAATCCTTTATTGTAGGGAGACTGAGGTTCCAAAAGGGAAATAGGACCCTCGTGAGTTTGTCTAGCAAGCAACTTGCAGAAGCATACTGGTCTTCTAATTTTTGAGTCAAAAGTCAGATGCAGTGGCTCACTCCTGTAATCCCAGCACTTTGGGATGGTGAGGTAGGAAAATCACTTGGGGCCAGAAGTCTGAGACCAGCCTGGACAGCATAGTGAGATCTTGGCTCTAGCAAGAATATCAAATTATTATCCAGGTGTGAAAATGTGTACCTGTAGTCCCAGCTGCTCAGTGGGCTGAGGTGGGCAGGCTCTCTTAAGTCCAGGAGGTTGATGCTGCAGTGAGCTATGATCATGCCACTGTCCTGCAGCCTGGGAAACAGAGCAAGATCCTGTCTCAAAAAAAAAAAAAAAAATTGCCAAAGTTACCAATTTCTCTGAGCCTTCACTTTCCTATCTGTAAAATGGTTATAATAATGTCTTTTCTTCCTACTACATGTGGGATAAGTGACAATGAAGTGTTGTTGTGAAAGTACTTTAGAATATATAAATATATAGGGGGAGAAAGAAAGATCAATATACACACACAAGCACGTTTAGAAAGGCTTAATGCAAAGGTAAGGCTTTGTTAATAATCTGCATTTGATTTTGATTTGTTAATTAATTTACCACAGGTTTATTGAGCACCTACCAGTTACTATTTCAGTGCTGGGTATAAGTGGAGGACAAGAGAGACATGGTGGCTGCCTTCCTGAGCTTACACTCTGAATGAGTGGAGGGAGAATGGCAAAGAGGGAGAGACGCAGAGGACAAATATACAACAGGTAAACATGAGAATGTTGGACAGTGCCGAGTGCCCTGAAGAAGTGAAGTAGGGTGTTGCAATCAAGAGAGATGTGACGATTTCAGACCTGGCGGTCAGAACAGCCTCTCTGAGTGGGATCTTACACTGGCCTTGGGAGCAGGTGGGAGGGCCTAGGAGCAGAGCAGTCCAGGCAGATGGAGGGCTGGAGCAGAGGCCTTAGGTGAGGCAGCAGTGGTGTCAGCGGAGATCCTATAGGGAAAAGGACCTCACATCACCAGAGGCCATGTAGCCCAGGGCAAGTAGCATGGAAAAAGGGAAATGGGTAGCAGTTTGGAGATCCAAGTTCTAATCCTAGCTTTGCCACAAAGTAGCTGGGTTGCCTTGGATGCGCCATGTAATAGTCCTGGCCTCAGTTTCTTTATCTGTCAAATGGAAACATAAATCCTCCCCTTTCCCAGAGGTACGCTATGAGGGGGGTCGGACTAGGTGTGAGCTGCCCTCAAACACCCAGCTCCCATGTGTAGTGATAAAAGCCAATCTGTCTCAGGCTTTTCCAGGAGCCTGGGCTGCAGGGATGAGGGGCCTCCAGGCCATCCACCCACATGCACAATGCAAGCCCTGTGCTGGCCCCATGGACAACAGGCACGGACGAGAGGGTCTGCTTTTTCTTTTCATGGACTTGAGACTTCAAGCCTTTGGAATGAGTGCCAACAATAATTCATCAGGAACGCTTTACAACTCAGCATTACAAAACCTGTTAGGAGACAGATCGCCCACAGGACAGCCTTTGAGAAGGAAATGTGTTCAGGGCTGGTGACCTCAAGATGATTAATGATTTTTAACAGGGTGAACTCTGTCCTCCCCCTCCCATGTACTGTGTTCGCACTCTGCCTTTCCTGACTTGTTTGCAGGAGAAAGGGGAGATGGGGAGGGGGAGAGGGAGGAGGGGAGGGGAAGGAAGAGGTGGGAGTAGGGGATGCTTGAAGGTAAAGCCCACCAATCATAAGGAAAATGCAGGAACAAGAGCACTCTGTCAGAAAGGCAGAAATGTCTTATTGTTATTGTTTTACTTTTCTTTTTTCTTTCTTTTTTTTTTTTTTGCAAAAACAGAGATGGAGGCTTTATATAATGAAATATGTGCAATGTGTCACAACTCCAGTAAGCTTTTTTGTGTTAGGCTTTTTGCACAGTGCCTTGTGCTTTCGGCCATTGTTACTATTATCATCACCCCTCCATCGCCAGGGACACAAACGTTGGTATTATTGAATGTGGAATGTATCGAAAAAGTTAATCATGATTTTACTTTTTGATTTTTAAAGTCATGGTAACCTGATTTTTACGTTATTAGATTTAGAAAATTACAACAGTGATATATGCAGTTTTAACAAACCAAAAATACAGAGTTGTTGGAAGAAAAATTTCTAATCTTTCCCTATACCCTTCTTTAGTCCCAAACCCCTGAGATCATCAATGTCAAATCAGTGCCATCCTTGGTAGTACTGTACACATATTAATCCAGAGTGATGTCCGCATACATGATCCTATAGAACATGAATGTTCAACTGCAAACCAAGAGTCATGGCAGACCTTCATACTTTTGTGGGAAAGGCAAATTTATGTTGATAATGAGTTGATAGTTAATATTTATTGATTATTTTTATTAGAGATATTCTTACATTAGCAGTATTCTTTAGAGTACCTTTGTATTAAAGGTACTCTATTCTAGTGCATTACATGTGTTATTTAGATGATAATATTTATTGATTATTTACATTAAAGGTAATCTGTTCTAGTGTATATTACATGTGTTATTTAATCCTCATAATAGCCATTAAAAGTACTAGAAATATTCTTCCCACTTCACAATTGAGGAAATTGAGCTACGAAGTTAGCTTGGAAGTTGTAGAACCAGGATTGGCGTTCAGGAGGTCTCATCCTCAGCCCTGAGCTCTGCTGAATGAGCATTTTGGTTTTAAATCTTTCTCCTATAAGCATTACTAAAACCCTGTTTAACTCCTGCAATGTCTGCTTGCAAGTTTTTACAGACAGCAAAATAAATGAAAGGGTAGCAAGTGAGTGATTAAGGATGAAGGTTCCACTCCCCCATACCTACTGTGATGGCTATTTCCTCTGTGGGTCCTCGTTTTGGGTGAGACTCAATTTCATGAATGTGTATATTTTTCTGCTCCTAGAACCGTTTGTAAAGTCTCATTAACTGTAAAGCTACTTCTTGGTGTGTTGTCTGACTTTCAGATTCTTCAGCAACATCCAAACAAGTTTGAGAAGCACTCAACTTGACTCTGAGATTTGGTATGAGGTGTGTAAAACTCACTCATCAACATACCTCTTGTGATTGTCTTATAAAAGCAACCAAAAGGTCAATATACAGCAAAAGTTTTAAGAGCACATTTTTTCAGAAACAATTTATACTGTCAGTTTTTTCTTTTTCTTTGTTCCTTCTAACTTTTATTTTAGGTTCAGGGGTACATATGTCAGTTTGTTACATGGGTGAATCGCATGTCATGGGGGTTTGGTGTACAGATGACTTCATCATACACGTAATGAGCATAGTACCCTACAGGTAGCATTTTGATCCTCACCCTCCTTCCACTCTTCACTATCAGACTCCGATGTCTTTTGTACCTTTCTTTGTGTCCATGTGTACTCAATATTTAGCTCCGACTTATAAGTGAGCATGTGGTATTTGGTTTTCTGTTTCTGTGTTAATTTGTTTAGGATAATCCTGGTGCATCCATGTTGCTGCAAAGGACAGGATTTTGTTCTGTTTTATGGTTGCATGGTATTTCATGTTGTATATGTACCACAGTTTCTTTATCCAGTCCACTGTTGATGGGCATCTAGGTTGATTTCATGTCTTTGCTATTGTGAATAGAAGAGCACAAGATTTTGAGTTAGGATCTTGTTAAAATTATACCTGTTCCATGTAGTAATTATGTGACGTAGAGACTTAGTTTTCTCACTCGTAAATTGGAAATAATTGCACCATTTACTTTATAGGGTTGGAATCAGGATTATTTGAAATAATGTCTGTAAGTAAAACACTTAGCACAGGGCATGGCATGTAGTAAGGACTTAATGCATAGTAGCTACTGTCAATGAAATCAATAATTTATGATATCTGCTCACATTTTTTTCTCTCATCTTCACTAATCTAGTTGGAAGAACCATCATCTGAAATTCACTGATAGTTTCACTTTAGACTGAGTTGCTATTACATGGCCTTTTACAAGTTTTACAGACCTCGATGTGAGTTGGCAGATATTATTGAAAAAGAAAACTGGGAAACTTGTAAAGAACATCATCTGTATAATTTTTAATTGAGGAACCAGAAGCTAGGAGAGACGCATGGAGATTCTTTCTGACAGCCATCAGAAGGAGACAACCCGATGATGCATTGACCACTTACTCCCACATTGACCAGATCCTGTCAATGGATCAGCTGAGGTGGGAGCCTTAGTTTATTTGTTGGATGAGATGTTTGTTCTAAAATAAAGTTACTAGACTGGGCCACCCTTTGGAGGATACAAAGTTCAACCTAAGTTTTAGACATGCATGCTCAGTCTCTGCGGAATAAAGGGCTGTTGGTGAATGAGAATTTGAACTTGGTTTTTATGGTTTTAGGGGGAGACCTATCCAGATTATTCTGGTAACGAGAGGTTTATATTAAGGAACTCACAATGGACAGACTTTCACGGGAATGCTAGTTTAGCCAAATCAGCAAGATGATCTTGGTTGCACAGTCCTATCAGTAAAAATACTTGAGACTGCATGCTAATACACGTCTCTCTGTGTGTACATGTACATTTAAATTATGTAATATCATAATGCACAAATGTAGCTATTAGCATTAGCTAATATCTCAAAGCACATTACTCATGAGTGCAGTTCATCATTAATGATAGGGGATCTAACTCTATGTTTCAAATAATCCTTGTATCATTTTTGGGGGGCTGTCATCACTAAGTACCACCAACTGAATGGCTTAACCAACAGAAATTTATTGTCTTACAGTTCTGAAGGCTACAAGTCTAAAAGCAAGGTGTGGTTAGGGTTGGCTTCTTCTGAGGGCTATGAGGG